TTAAAATTTTATAATTATATATGAAACCATATTTTGAGATAATCTTAATAATTTTTTATATCAAAATTATATGTTGTTGTAAAATTTGAAGGTGCACCTTATTTTAATTGTTTAAGATTGCAACCTTATGGAAATAATACCCAATATATTACAATCTAGTAAGGTGAGGATCTGAAACTTTCCCTTAACTAGTCGAAGCTCTTGTTAAGGAAGTAGATTGCATTAGGTATGCTACTAATATAAAACTTTTGACACATATTATCATGAAGATAGCCCTAAATGTCTGGGATAAAACTTGGATGATGATGAAGAAGAATAGTCAAGGTTGAGATCATTAAAGGTTTTCAAAGCCATAATTGTAATTTTAAAAAAGTTTCGAGGTGAGGCTTATTTTGATAGGGTTACAACCCTATCAAACCTTCACATTTTTTATATTTCATAATTGTCATAATTTTTCGAACATATATAAATATATGTAGGGGGATGATATCATGTTACTGTATAATTATAATATTAACACCACACTTCTAGAAAACTGTGTATGTAGTATTTCTTATGACCCATAATTTTGTACACACTTTTTTCATCCTAACAATCAATATAAAAAAAAAAAAATCTGATTTGCACTTTAGATATGGTCTAAATGAGTCCCCTCCAACAATGAATATAGACTTTCCATTTGGTGAATTTCAAGATGTATGCCTTTACGAATTAATTAATTAATTTTTTTTATATTGTTAATCCAATCATTATAAAACCATGTAAAACGTTTGAAAAAGAAAAATTATTTCCAAAGTATAAATCTAAGTATCTCACCAAAATGGACTGCCTATATTAAATAGGCTAAAAAAACACTTTTTAATGTGTGTTTTTTATTTTTTATCATTTAGTGAATTATTTAAAATAATGAAAAAAATGTATTTTTTTATTTATTTGCCACTGATCTGATTTTGTCTGGAGCCATAAATTTGTGATACATTTTTGTATTGGGCAGATAGAATAATTATGAGCTATGCAATTTAGGGCTTGTTTAGATTTGCTCCTTATCACCCAGAATATAAAATTATTCTTGATAATGAATTATTTGTTGTTTGGTAGTGTCTCTTGTAAAATTAATCGATATAAAATTATAGGCAGCTTTACATATAAGTTTGTATTTTTCAAATGTTGTTTTTGCCATAAATAACAAAAAGTAACTTAAAATTGCTAATGAGTTAAATAATTAAATGGAAAAGTATATAATGAAACCATTTACCTTTGGTACAAGTGGTCACAATACCGTTAGATGTGAAATTGGGTAGCTGCATTTATTTGAATGACCAAACTCAAAGTTCAGATTAAATTTTCTCTTACTTTATGACACACTCAAACCATCAAATTTTACATCGGATTGTTGTAAATAATAGTGACCTCCTTATAACAAAGGTATGGTCTCATTGTATACAATCCTATAATAACTTATCATCACATATAGTGTAATATATGTATCAAACAACTAACAAACTAATATGATGTATATAATATATTAAGAAAAAATTTATATAAAGTTGCAACCTTAAAATTTAGAATTACAAATGCACCTGAAAAATCCATCAGGAAATGTTGTTTTAATGTTGAAAAACCCTCTAATTGATCATCTGAACATCGAGATGTATGAATATGAAAGAAAAAAAAAATTGAGTCCTAAAAATAATGCATCTTGCTACACATTATCTAGACCATCTATTTTCAAGATTTTCATATATTTATAGATCTACTTGATTTTAACCATTTTTTGAGTTTAAAATTTTATAATTAGATATGAAACCATATTTTGAGATAATCTTAATAATTTTTTATATCAAATTACATGTTATTGTAAAATTTGGAGGTGCACCTTATTTTAATTGTTTAAGATTGCAACCTTATGGAAATAATACCCAATATATTACAATCTAGTAAGGTGAGGATCTGAAACTTTCCCTTAACTGGTTGAAGCTCTTGTAAAGGAAGTAGATTGCATTAGGTATGCTACTAACATAAAACTTTTGACACATCTTATCATGAAGATAGCCCTAAATGTCCGGGATAAAACTTGGATGATGAAGAAGAAGAATAATCAAGGTTGAGATGATTGATTTAAAGGTTTTTAAAGCCAGAATTGTAATTTTTAAAAAGTTTTGAGGTGAGGCTTATTTTGACAGGGTTACAACCCTATCAAACCTCCACATTTTTTATATTTCATAATTGTCATAATCTTTCGAACATATATAAATGTATGTAGGGGGATGATATCATGTTACTGTATAATTATAATATTAAAACCACACTTCTAGAAAACTGTGTTTGTGGTATTTCTTATGGCCCATAATTTTGTACACACACTTTTTTCATCCTAACAATCAATATAAAAAAAAAAAAATCCGATTTGCACTCTAGATATGGTCTAAATGAGTCCCCTCCAACAATGAATATAGACTTTCTATTTGGTGAATTTCAAGATGTATGCCTTTACGAATTAATTAATTAATTTTTTTATATTGCTAATCGAATCATTATAAGACCATATAAAAAGTTTCAAAAAGAAAAATTATTTCCAAAATATAAATCTAAGTATCTCACCAAAATGGACTGCCTATATTAAAGAGGCTAAAAAAACACTTTTTAATGTGTGTTTTTTTATTTTTTATTTTGTAGTGAATTATTTAAAATAATGAAAAAAATGTATATTTAGAAATTAGAGTTAAACAAATAGCTCTAACGTAGTTTTTGAAATTTGTTTTATCATATTATTATGGAATACTTGCATGAAATCACTCCCATATAAATTTATTCTCATTTCTATATACTAGATTAAGTTTAATTTTGGCACGTCTTTTTTTCTTTTGAATAGCAGTAATAATTTTACTCCACCATTGGAAGAGTAATTACAGCAGCCAAATGCCTAGTTGCGAGAACCAGGGATATTGCTAACAGCTCAGCCTTCATACCACAATCAAAAAAACTTCGTGGAAGGCCCGTGAGAGCTTAACCTCCTTATTTATCCATTTGATAACCTCCACCACCATTGGCTTATTCAGCTTCAACCAATGTAGCACGCTCTCAATATTGCTTCATTGACAGTGATAATTCCCACCTGTCCAAAGTATTTTATCAGAACAATGCCATTCTTATCTCAAATAATATCACGTATCTCAACTCGGCTCGATTTCTCAATAACTACCATCAAAATTAAGCTTTACCCACCCTTCAACTCGGCTCGATTTTTCAGTAACTACCATCAAAATTAAGCTTTACCCACCCTTCAATTCGGCTAGATTTCTCAATAACTACCATCAAAATTAAGCTTTACCCACCCTTCAATTCGGCTAGATTTCTCAATAACTACCATCAAAATTAAGCTTTACCCACCCTGCCGCATGCGCTTTCCAAACTCCTGACCTTACTTATTTGGTTGCATGCTCAACTATTAGGATTTATAGGTTATGCATTAAGTTCAATTAGCTACTCCCCACCATTCCTCCGTGACAACTAATTATTAGGATATGTGGATTATACATTAAGTCCAATCTAGCTACTCCCAACCATTCCTCCTTGACTGATAACCACTCAAAATCGGTTACATGAATTTTCTCCTCCAATTCAATGGCTGATTTAATCATATCTTCAAAACATCTATGGTTATGCTCTTTCCATAGTTCCTACAGTACAATGGCTTTAATCACTTTCCAAATGATTTTATCTTTCTTTCCAAAACCTCCAGCTAACCAATTACTTAATAATCTATCAGACATTATAGAACTATGCAATACACTACAGCCACATAGATTTAGCATAACAACATTTAAAGAATAGATAATCCACAGTTTCTTCATCCCCTTTACACATAAGATTGACAATAGTTTGTATTTTTCCCAGTTTTATCAGCATGTTAATTGTTAACATCTTTTTAAAATTTCAATAACCACATGAAGGCATGCCATTTCCAAATTTTTGCTGCTTCCATATCATTCAATTTGTGATGATCATATAATTTTGGCATGTTTATACTTATCACCATCACACACCTGTGAAAATATTTAAAATAATAAAAACTACATAAAATTACTATTTTTCTAGGACAATTTAATAATTTTATTTATTTTAAACTATTTTAAAATATTTTTTATTAATGTATGATAGTAAGAAGTGTGGCCGCACCAAATTTGAGCTTCACCTATATATAAAGAGATAAAAATTAAAATATACTATATATATATATATATATATATTCTAAAACATGGGAATTTGATTGTAAAATAGGGCAATGATTTCATGCAACTGTTGCATAGTAATATGATGTAACAATCTTAAAAAACCTTCTTATGGCCATTTGTTTGATCCAAAATTTGAAATATACATTCTTTTCATTATAATAATCAATCACAAAAAAGGAAAAATTGAAAACACAACCTATAAAGTATTTGTTTAGCCCAATTAACATAGACTATTCATTTTAGTGAGATGCTTAAATCTAGATCTTAAAAGGATTTTTTCATTTCCAAATTTTTTAGATAACTTTATTATCATTAGATGAACAATATTAAAAAAAAAAAAAATGATTTTGAGTTTATAAAGGCTGAGATCTTGAAATTTATAAAATGAATGGTCTAGATTCATTTTGGAAGGGACTCATTTTGACCATATCTAAGGGTTCAAATTGATTTTTTTTTTTTGGAATTGATTATTGAGATGAAGAGAGTGTGTGTACAAAATTTGAGGTCATACAAATACCACAAACATAATTTTCTAGAAGTGTCGTTACATTATACTATGATACAACCGTTGCATTGGATCATGCTCTATAAAATATAATGAGACAAATTTTAAATATTTTAAAAAAGGATTTATTTACAAATTTCTACGTTATTTCCAATTTATCAACTTCCTAAGCCCAAATTATTTACATGCCTAGTTTGGTCATTGAATAAAATCCCAAGGGCACATTTCATAATATTGCGTTTATAAAGTAGAACCAAGCGGGTTTCATGGTTTAGGGGTTTACGGCTTCGTTGCAGAGAGCCACTGCATCGTTTTAGGTTTTTTTGAGGTCTAAGCAATGGCGTTTTGGGGTAAAGGCTTGCTAACGTTCTCTATCGTTTCCTACTTTTTTGTGGCTTTCAATTTTGAACCTTATGTTAATTTTTATTTCCATTTTCCATTGACGACTGTAGATTCTTTCATATTTGATTACTCATTGTCTCAACAAATATGAAATCATATCCTCTTTATATTCATATTCGTTTTTTCTTGTTGCTATATGCTTCCCTATCTCCTGTCTATTTAATCAGTCCATTACACAATTTTTCTTCCGTTCTAAGTTATTTTTGTTCCCATTCGCCATTGTTGATTGTAAATTATTTTAACATACGCGTCTAGTGTATTCCATTACAGGATTTGCCCTAAAGTTACCCTCGTATTCAATGTAGTCATCATTAGGGGTTTGTGTATTTTTTTGCAGTCTACTTTAAACAAATATTTCATTTTTCTTTCTCAAAAAAAAAAAAAAAAAAAGAAAGAATTTTGCTGATTATTTTTTCATCTCCATGATTGTTACTTCGGGGTCATTTGGTTCACATGAAAATAATCCTCAGAAAGTTTTTCATATGAAGCAGAGGTTACACATGTTTGGTTCGTACTTTTAAACACGTGAGAATTAATTCTGTGATAAAAATGTTTACCACAAAATGAACCTTTTCATATGAAAGGAACTCCCTATTAATTCCTGAAACAGTTTAGGTTGCTTGTTTCTGGTTTTACCTTTGGTCAAAATTATTGATGCTAGTTTATTTATTGTGCTATTACAATTATTAATTAATTTGTATTTATTGGCAGGAATTGAGGTAAAACCTGGTAAGCCAGTTAAGCATCAATATGATAGCGAGAGGGGAAGGCTTCATGTATCAAAGGTACTTAGAAGTCTAAGCCTAAAATTCCCTTTATTTTTTGTAATAATATTGTTTCTGATGTTAAAGGAGTTTATTCCTGATTTTGCAATGGATGTGATTATGTTGTGATGTTGCTGTTAAAAAGTTTGAGATTAAAGAATAAGCATTTTTAGTTCGAGTTAAATCCCAAACAGTAGTGGAAACTCATGTGAACAACCTTTGAAGTGTGAGATGAATGCCGAGTCTGTTTACTTCTGTTGTTTATGGTTAGTTTATACTGATATGAGGATTGATAATTTTTCAAAATGTTCATTTCAGACAAGGTGCTGGGACTGGCCGCAGTTAATTCGGTCGGCCATTGGCCGAGTGAGTTACTCGGGCGAGTCCAAGTTCAGTTATCCGAGTAGTGAGGGAAAAGTGTAAAAGAAGCTAATTCAGTCGGCCATTGGCCGCGCGAGTTACTCGGGCGAGTCCCAAGTTCACTCGTCCGAGTAGTGAGGAAAAAGTGTAAAAGGAAATAAGAAAAGGGGAAATTAAAAAAAGGTAAGAGTCCTTGGTTAGCCACATGGCTAAGGGAGAGGGTATGCGGCTAAAAAGAGAGGGCTGTCACCAAGTGTCTCTTCCCCCCACAACCATCTGTCTTTTCTCTTCCCCCCCTGTGTCTTTCTCAGATCTTTCTTTCTCAGAGAAGGAAGAATCAGCCATCTCTCTCTCTTTCTCTTTCTCATAGAAGGGATAAATGGAAACAGGGTTTTTAGAGAGAGATAACAAATGCGCAGAATCCTGCCCTTTTAGGGAAGGGAGGGAGGGAGGGAGGGAGAGAAAGAGGGAGGAAGGAGGGAGGGAGGGAGGGAGGGAGGGAGGGAGAGAAAGAGGGACGAGGGAGGGAGGGAGGGAGAGAAAGAGGGAGGGAGGAAGAGGAATGAAATGGGGGTGGAAATCACCCTCATGAGAGAGAGATCACCCGGTTTGCAGTTGAAAGGTGCAGTGCCCCCTTAGAGCGAGACGAAATGAGGGGGGCTGTGCGCCCCTTTATTTGAGTATGCCCCCCTTATTTGAGTGTGCCCATGTACCGAAGAACTTGGGGATCCTTGCCTCGCCATTAGGGTGAGGCTGGGTTACTCGGCTGACTGCAAGTGGTCTGGGCCGAGTCTCGGAACATTGATTTCAGAAAAAGATAATTTTTCATAATATCATTGATATTTGTTGACAAAGAAAAAATGGCCTTGAAGGACATGTTGAAAATTCATGAAAAGAGCATTGGAATTTTGTTTTGGGATGTTTATGGAATCATAAAAAAATCGCAATTTGTCACTAAAAGCATGCAGAAATGAAAAGGAAAGCATATTTTCTCTAGATTATAACCATTTATGGGTTGTATCTCACTAGTAAAACTTGAAAAGTGTACTGATTGCTAAGACTTCATTTGTTTTATGGCATATTATTATGCGGAGGTCTGACATTACTTGCTTGAGGCATAAGTTTCTTGTTGCTATCTTTCTCTTTTTATTTTTTGCAGGCTACTTTGGGTCATGGTTCATCAACTGAGAGGAGTAGCCTACAGTGTAACATAGGAAATAAGAGCCCTGTTCTTTTATGTGTTCTTTCGGAAAACCACACTGATAATTGTTCTATAGATGTTGAATTCGAGGAGGAGGAAGAGGTGGTGTTCTCTGTTTTGGGCCCTCGAAGTGTGCACCTAATTGGTTATTACATGGTTCCTGATCGTGGTCCCGAAGAGGACTCGTATCCTATGAAATGAAGTCTTCATTTTTTTAATGGTTTATTTTTATGGAATATTTATAAGCCAATTTCATTGGTTTAGATAGAAAAATTGTTGATTTTTTCAATGAACTTTGCCCCCCATGGCTGTTTCCTTTACCATCTAATAGTGAATCTTATGGGGAAGATATTGATGTTGAGACAGAAGAAGAGTCAAGCTACCATAGCTCAGATGATGAATATGAGGACGATTTTATTAATGATGATGATCTTGATATGTTTCCAGATTCACCCCGGCCCAAGAGTGGAGGTACAATGATTGTATTCATTATATATTTTGTGCTTTTTTCTGGTCCAATTGAGCTTTATGACATGAGTTTAACGTTCTTTATAGGTGCAGCATTATCTTCTCTATGCCTATGAAATTATGCTCATATACACAGACAGTTTTTATACATATGTTCGTGTAATATTCTCTCCTCTGATTGCTCTGTAGCTGTGCCCCATATCCTTTGCGCTTTATTGCATGTTGTTTGTGGACTAAACTCATTCGAACCGACTCTAGATGGAAATATGCTTGTTGATGTGGATTGCAGTTCCTACTTTTTTATTGAAGTGTTAAATTTTGAATATTGAAATGGGATTTCCTACTTGATGATCAATTTATATGTACTCAATTAACGCATTTTACATGTTTGACATTCATTATCAGTTACGATTGAGGAGATAATTGATGATGAAGTTCCTTCAAATGGTCATGTTCCTAAAAATTTGAAGAAGAAGCTTCAGAAAGTTGAATCGGAAGATGATTGCAAGGACAAGCAACTATCAGTGATCAAAAGGACTAGAAACCAACGTATAGAGTCGGATAGTGAAGATGAAGATGGGTTACCGAAACCTTCAATAAAAGATGGTGGTAAGGATGCTAAAGTTGCTGAAGCAAAAGAAAACTCTGGAACAGCTAATGAAGAGGGAGAGAAAGAAACTCAAGTTAACGGTCAGGATGATGTATTTCCTGGTTCAAACAGGAAACTTGACGGCAATGAACAAGTTGGAGCTGGAAAGAGAAAGTGAGAACATAGTTCTTTGCATCCTTTATTTGTTGATCTTTATTTTTATGATAGGTAAGTATACTGTGTCAGATAGACTATAGAAAATCGCACTCTATTGGGGTTATCATCATCCGAAACAATGATTACACTGATGAAGTGAGTGGGGGATCCATCAGAATGGAGCATGACCATAATGGTCGGTTTCGCTCGCTCATCACTGTCTATCTTTTCATTGGATGGTGATACACTTTAATGGTCTGTAGTTTACCATGGTTCACCGGGGTACAACATACTCTCCTTTATCCCAAATATGTATTTGCTTCATTTACGATGTTTAGGAACATTTTTCGTGATATTGCTGTCTGTGATTAGGAAAAGAGGCCAATTAGATATTCCTTCAGATCCATCAGGTGCACCTGTTCTTGAAAGTGATGGAAAGAAGAAAAAAGACAAGAAGAAGAAGAAGAAGAAAAACAAAAGCGAAAATCCAATCTCAGAAAAGGATCAACAAATACAGGAAGCACAAGAGCTAACTAGCGGTACTCCAGGTCAACCTTCGGACATTGAAGGGAAAAGACTAGAATCGGATGAAAGGTAGAATTGGAGTCTAATCCTCTGTGTTCGATCTTGAAATGTGATTTCAGAGATTAATTGCTTTTATGGAGCTCTGTTTTTGATTGGTTTTTCTTCACTTTGTTAGAATTCCAATTGAATCAACTGATCAAGCCAACGCTAATCTTGATGGGGATGTTAAAAAGAAGAGGAAGAAAAAGAAGGCCAAGACTCAGGAAAATGATAAAAGCTCTGACGGAGTAGCATCTGCGGTGGTGGAAGAAAAATCAGATATGCCACTTGCAAAAGGAGCAAGGACCTTCTCCAATGGCTTGGTTGTTGAGGATATATCGATTGGTCAACCAGATGGGAAAAAGGCAGATAAAGGACGCAAGGTAAACCTTCTTCGCTTTTACTTTTCTGTCTGCCTACGGACTTCTTTATTTTTAATTTGTTTTCGTTTTCTTTTGTCACTTCTATCAATGACTTTTAATTTGTTTTCGTTTTCTTTTGTCACCTTGGTGACTTTTCCCCGGTGGGGTGTTTTGTGCTTTGTATTGTCTCTTTTCATTCACTAAAGTGTTAATAGTATAAAAAAGAAAAAGTTCCCTGCTGCATGTTTTGTGCTTTGTATTGCCTCTTTTCCTTCAATACAATGTTAATAGTATAAAAAAAAAAGGACAAAAAAAAAAGAGGACGCAAGGTAAACCTAATTCTTTGCCTCAAGCCCTTTAGTTTAGATTATTGTAGAGTTTTTTTTTTCTTTCCATTTTACATGTCATTATTTTCCATTTGTGCAATTTACTTAGTTTATCTTTCATGCAGTAAGCGCAAAAACTTCTGATAGTCTGCTGATTGAGTCGGTTAAGAATAGGAGCATGATTATTCATGGATTTGGTGCTCTTATGTGTTTTCTATGGTTTTACATCGAGGGACACGAACATTAGGATTTTATGTAAATTCAACACTAATCACTTCCAAATTTATACTTGGCAACTAAGTCTCGGAACGTGAAAATTAGGCTCATAAGTTGTTACAAATGACCTCGTTTGTTATATGGGTCAGGTTTTGGTGAACTACATTGGCAAGCTTAAGAAGAATGGAAAGATTTTTGACTCTAATATTGGAAAGAGGCCTTTTAAGTTTCGATTAGGTATATCTATAATGGCCAGAACTGTGTCAAATAATTGATTGCTTTTATGGTGCATTTGTTCTTATGAGATGTTTCGATTTTTTGTAGGTATCGGAGAAGTCATAACAGGCTGGGATGTCGGTGTCAAGGGTAATAACCCGTGACCCTAAATTTTTGAATCCTTAAACTATCAAACTTGTTTTGCTTTCAAGTAGAATTTGGTTCATAGTTTTAGCTAGCAGTGATGAAGTGATATTTTGTCCCTACTGAAACCCTAATCATGTTCTTACTTGTAGGAATGCGAGTTGGGGATAAACGCAGATTAACAATTCCTCCATCTATGGGGTAAGTGGACTTGTATTTTGTGATGGCCTACTTATATTTTAGTGGGATTCTCTATAAAAAGACCATTTATCTTTTGTACATGGAGGTTACAATCATTTTTGTCACTTAAATTTCAATGGTTGTAAAAATGTCTTTGAATAAGCACGAAGTCCCAAAAAAAAATTCTAGGACTTCGTGACTCACTCCAAACCATCTAATTTGAGTGGCAATGAATGTGACCTTCGTGTACAAAAGATAAATAGTCTCTTTGTAGACAATCCCTATTTTAATTACTTGCCATTAATTTTACTCATGAAAGAAAAAAAAATATTTTCTCATTTGTGGTGGTTCTTTTATTTGATATGGATTTTCCTTTTGTTTATTTATTTCATTTGGGGAGAGCATATTTACCTTTATGTTGACCGGTAAGGTGTACTTAAATTTTCTTTGCCTCTCTTTTCACAGTTATGGATCCAAAGGAGCGGGGATGATACCTCCAAATGCTTGGCTAGTGTTTGATGTCGAGTTGGTTGATGTCCAGTGATGATGTTTGTATCTGGGAAGTTAAATTCTCCTCTCTTTTTTTTTATGTTGTTTTTGCGGCTTATTGAACTGCGTGGGTAGAGAGAGAATTACGTGACACTATAATGCTCCTCTTTTTTCATGCATGTATTGAGGATGAGCATCATTTTTGGAAAAGCACGATATTCAGTCAATGTTTTATATAATTTTTGGCACTGATAGGATTCAATGCGTGGTGGAGACTGAAGCAGTCGCTGTGACCCAGTAGCACCTCAAAACTTGCCAGAAAAATCAGTTTTGTTGCCCAAGACCAAGTTTTAGGGTGGCAACAAGCTGGGCCTGGCCTGGGCCAGTGCAGTCCCTAGCCCAGCCCTAGTCCCTGTACAGTCGAAGAGTCTCTGGCCTAGGCTCAGGCCCAGGCCCCAGCATAGCCTTGATGGTGTGAGGTTGGGCCTGGCCAGAAAAAAAAAAATGATAAAACGGAAAATAAAGGCTTGGCTCAAGCCTAGGCCACCTTTTGTCTCTCTGGCCCTAGGTTTTGAGTGCCGAGCTGGGCCATGTGGCCCATTGCCAGTCCTGTTGGCACTTTCGTGTCCCAAATGCTATCATGAATTTAGAGGCAAAAAAATAATTAAAGGATTTTTTTTTCTCCTAATTTAGGACACCAAAACTACTTACAGACTGGCAATGGGCCACATTTCCAATCCAAGGCTCGATTCCTACAAAGGGGAGGGGCTTCCTCCCCACTGATTCACCGAAAAAAAAAAAGTTTTAAGGGTTGGGGTCGTGGTGATAGCACCTCATGCTTTAGTTACCATGTTGTGGTTTCGATTCTAGCATCACTCTACTAGCTTTCCAAAAAAATTACTTCTGATCTCTTTTTTGAAAAACAGTTGGGGGGCTTGTCTTCCCAATTACCCAAAAAAAAGAAAAACTCTTTTTCTTGACTAAATCCATTTCAAGTTCACTCCAGAGTTGGAACTCCAAAGTTCACAATTTGGTATGGAAACGGATTGGCGGGTGACAGAAAGGTGTTTCCGAAATTCAATCCATACTTGAGATGTCTTTTGGGGTATGGCTTTACCGCTTCATACCAAATATTGATCCACGAAAAACCACTTATCTGTTTTGTTTCGTGTTGTGAGGTGGTGAAGATATTATTACATGTGAAACTTGCTTGATTATTATCATCCGTAAGTTGGCTTAGTTGAGCGAATGAGGTGATTATTGTCATCCATAAGTTGGCTTAGTTGAATTAATGAGGTGCTTTCATGGACAATAAAGAACTTGTGTTGAACTAATGAAGTTGTGTTGAACTATTGAGGTGCTTTCAATGGTCCTACTTTGAGGTTTTTTTTGAGGTTTCAAGAATGTGTATGAGCCCACTTCTTGTACTTTGAAATCTGCTTTTATTTTTGAGATGAATGAGTTGATTCGTTTCTTTCATTATCCCGTGGTGATAGGGGGGGTTTAATCTTATTAGGTGGCCGAATGAGTCCCTCGCAGGATGTCCAATTAACACTTATATAAGGAAATTTAGTTCTTTCATCGAAAGCAATGCTCTTATGGATCTTTCTATTATTGGATTTAAGTTTACTTGATCCAATAATAGTATTGCTTATTTGGTGATGTTTAAATTGGACAGGTTTTTGCTGGCTCCAAAGTGGGTGGAGGTATTTCCGTTGGTCTTAATTAAAGCCGTGGCGAGGTTGTCATTTGATCACCTCCCCATTTTTCTGAATACGGGGTCTCTCAGGGGAGGGCCGAAACTCTTCAGATTTGATGTTAGCTGGTTAGAAAATTTAGAAGTGGTCGAGATTATTAAAAGAACCTGGTCGAATTCTGTGGGGGTGGGTTCTTTGGATTTTCAATTACACAAAAAGTTGATGAGTGTCAAACGCAAATTGATTACCTGGAAAAAGGATAATAAATTCGATCTTAAGGGTAAGATTGATAGGGTCTTAGCTGATATTGAAGTGTTGGATCTTAATGTTCAGACAAGTGGAGTTTTAACTGAGCAGTTGGTGGTAGAACGTAGGGTGAAAATGAAGGAGTTAGAGGATTTGAAGAAATCTATTGGAAACAGAGATTTAGGAATAAATGGTTAAAAGAATGTGATCTCAATACTAAGTTTTTCCACGCCATTGCTAGTGTCAGAAGAAGACAAAATGATATTTCGGGACTAAATATCCTTAGGTTAGATCCTGAAGATAATGCTGCCATGGAAGTGGGTGTCATTAATCATTTTAGGAAAGCCTTTGCTAAAGAGGTGGTGATGACACCAAGTTTTCCGAATGTTCCTTTTAAGATGTTGAATAAAGAGCGAAGCCGCTTTTTGGAGCGGGCGATCACTGTTCAGGAACTGCAATATGTTGTTTTTGCTTTGCCTAGCGATAAGGCGTTGGGCCCGGATGGCTTCCCTTTGGTTTTTTTCCAAAGAATTTGGAATCTAATCAAAGATGATTTGTTAGCGGTCGTTAGAGAATTCATGATCAGAGGTCAATTTTTTAAGGGCATCAATTCCACTTTCTTGGCATTGATACCTAAAAAATCAGTGATCAATGAGCTCTCAGATATTAGACCTATTAGTTTGCTCACAAGTGTTTATAAAGTTATAGCTAAGATATTGACATAACGTCTCAAGAAAGTCCCCCCTCTCATTATTTCATCTACATAATGGACCTTTATATAAGACCGTCAAGTTATTGATAGTGTGCTAGTGGCTCAGGAATGTATTCATTTGCGTGTCATGAGTAAAAGGGTGGGCATTTTGTTTAAACTTGATATGGAAAAGACTTACGATAGGGTGGAGTGGGGTGTATTATTGGAAATTATGAAAAATATGGGTTTTGGAGCTCGTTGGATTTTTTGATGCTTATCTTCTGCAAACTTCTCAGTAGTATTCAAAGGCAGTTCGATTGGATTTTTTATTGGTTCGAGAGGTTTACGTCAAGGGGACCCCCTTTCTCATTTCTTATTTTCAATTTATGTTGAATGTTTTAGTCTGATGCTCAGTAGGGTGGAGAATTTGTGGGCTTTTGAGGGTTCCAAATTGCAAACTCTAGTACATCTGTCTCTCATTTACAGTATGCTGATGATACTTTAATTTTTATTGATGCTAAGACTATACAAGTGAGGAATGTGTCGAGATTTTTGGAGATCTATGAAGTGAACCTTGGGCTTAAAGTTAATTTTCATAAGTCCTCGTCAGCGAGAATTAAATGTAGCGAGGCTTTGGTGTGTGACTTGGCTAATGTGTTGGGCCATAACTAGATTCTTTTCCTATTACCTATTTGGGACTTCCTATTTTAGATTCAAAATTCTCTATTGCAGTTTGGGATAGCGTGATTGAGAGAATACAAATCAAGCTTGATTTGTGGAAGTATAAATATTTATCTATGGGGGGAAGGGTTACATTGTTAAGGTCCTGTCTGGCAAATCTGCATGTGTATCAGATGTCGATCATTCATATTGGGCATCAATGGCAAAAATAATTGAGAAGATGATGAGAAATTTCCTTTGGGGTTCGAGTGGAGAGAGTATGAAATTTCATTTATTAAGGTGAGATAGAGTTTGTACTCCCAAACGTGAAGGTGGTTTGGGAATTCGAAATATAAGCAGATTTAACCAGGCTTTGTTATGTAAATGGTGGTGGCATAGTTTCAATTTGAAGGATCATCTTTGGTATCGAGTTCTTTTGACAAAGTATGGAATGGATAGGTTTAATATGTGGCTTAGGGGTGGTAATGGTAGGGATGTGGCGGATGATTTCTAATTGCAAGAATATGATTGCGGGCTATTTTAGATGGAATGTGGGTAGGGGTGATCAAATTTTGTTCTGGCATCATAGGTGGCTTGGAGAGTATCCTGTGAAGTATGTTTTCCTTGATCTTTTTAGGGTAGTATCTAAACCTAGTCATAAAATTTGTGATGCTATTGAGAGAAGAGGGCAGTTGTTTTCGTGAGATATACCCCTTATGTATAGACAGCTGAACAATGTTTTATTGTCCCAGTGGTGTGCGTTGATGGAATTGTTGGATAACGTCTATATTTCCCAAGGGGCAGAAGATATATTGGTTAGGGAAATTGAAAGGGATGGTATGTTCTCAGTTATATCCTACTATAATCTTTTTTTCCATGATCGTTGGAGATGGTCATCTCTCAAGGTTGTGCAAATTTGGAAGTTGCCAATACCACATAAAGTCCAAGTCTTCATATGGCTAGCTTCGCAGAATAAGATATTAACTACTGATAATTTGCAAAAAAGGGGTAAGTTTTTACCTAATATTTGCTTACTTTGCAAATCGGATGGCGAGTCAGTTGATCATCTAGTGATGCATTGTCCTTATACATTGAGGATTTGGCATTAGTTAATTCGTGAACTAGGATTTTTGTTAACGCTGCCTCAGAATGTTATCGGTATTATTTTGCATTTTGTATTCCCTCTTGTAGACACCCTATTTTAAATCTGACAAATTCTATGGTTTTCTGAACTATTAGGATCACATTATCCTAGTATACCCAATTTAATTACCCCAAAACTACCCCAATCCTATCCCAATTTGAAGTAGAGCTCAAGAGCTTTCCAACGGTCCAAGAATCGCCTGAATCGGTCCCACGGATAAAAAGATATAACAAATAACAATTTAGACCCTGTGAGACCCAACTGTCGGGCCGTGAGCCGGGGTGTAACGGGCCCCGACAGGCCCAGACGCGAGCTAATGACGTAGTCAACGCATTTGATGATGCAGTAAACGTGTTTTCTTTAAGTAGATAAGGCTAAAACTTCAAGTTAAATCCAAACAATTTCAAAGAAACTCCAAAAAAATTACCAATTGAATATTATAAAAACCCCCGCTCCCTAACCTAAAAGGAGAGACAAAAAGAGACCAAAAAAACTTTAAAAATTCCCAAAATTAGAAAAATTATCCAAAAATAGGAAAAACCTTAAAAAATTCCTAAAAATTTAAGAAAAATCCTCAAAAATTAGAGAAAATCTCAGAATCTATATTCAACCTTTGGAGATCACAAAAAACTTAGAAAACTAAAGAAATTCTTCTCCAGACCCTGAGAAAGACCGACGGTTTTAGAAAAATCTCGAGATAGAAACCCTAGCCTCTTGAAGTCTTAACCCACAAGATTGAGAAAACCTAGACCTAGGGCACAAAAACCCTAGATCAAAACTATAATTAGGGCACAACAACCATAGATCTAACCCTTTACGCCAGAGATCTGCTGGTCAACATTTGAATCAGAGAGGCAAAGATGACCGGTTCTGATACGGGCGAGCCCTCGAAGGCTCCGAAATCTCGGGCCATCCAGCCCCGTTTGATATTATTTCTTTCTTCTTCTTTTTACTGTTTTGCCTTTTTTATTCATTTTTGATATGTTAACTTGTCTTAAAAATCGTATTTTAATGCTCTGGATCATACTGGTTATGCCACAGATCTGAGAGTAAATCTGCTCTTTTTTGGGTAAATCTGACATCAGATTTGAATTCGATCTGTCTCACTTTCTCTACCACTTTATTTACAGCTTTTTAATTAGTTTAAGGTGCTAAAATTCGAGAGATCTTCATCGGAAGATCTATCAGATTTTCATCGTGAACACCTCTCTTCTGAAGATTGGAAGTACGATTTAGAAGATAGCAAGAGATTTGATACTTTGGGAAGTATGGAAGGAGAGAAACAGAAGGACTTTTGAGGATGTGGCGTTACCGGTTGATAAGCTTATTCATTTAATTAAGCTCTCTATTTAGTCTTCTCTTTTAGTGGTAAAGGATGGGTGGGGTATTTTTAAGGTGATGTTATGATAAATCTGTCCAATCTTTTTTCTATAGGTTTAGTCTCTAGTAGGCCTAAAGGTTTGTGGCATGCCCCGACCATAGGCAGCTTTAAGCTAAACTTTGATTGTAGTTCTTTGGGGAACCCGGGACCAGTAGGTATTGGTGGTATTGTTCGAGATTGCTATGGAAATGTAATTTTTTCATATGCTAGACTAATCAGTATAGCCACGGCTAATTGTATAGAACTTACTGCTTTGTTAAGGGGTGTGGAAATTTTCATTCGTAGAACAGTGGGTACTATTTGCGTCATTGAAGGGGATTCTTTAAATTCTATCAGATGTTGTAAGACTGAACAGAAGGTTCCATGGGAACTGGATGCGGTAACCAACTTGTCGGTTTCCTTTTCCCATGTCTATCTAGAAGCAAATTGCATTGCTGATTCTCTGACCAAGGGTGGTGTTAACCTCTCTTCTTTTACTGTTTCTCATGATGTAATGCCCTTTTAACACTTTAATAAAGAGTACGAATATTGGTAAAAAAAAGAAGAAGTTGTGTTAGAGAAACTTGGGAAAGATGATATTACGACATATTGTGTGGGCAACAGGTTGGGTCGACCCATGAAGTTCACATGGGGAACAGGTCGAGTAGACCCATGGACTTCAGGGGTCTGATTTGAATTCCTAGCAGACCCCAAAGTTTTGATTGGACAACCCATGGACTTCAGGGTACTTCAAGTCAGATCCCGAAGTTCTAGTTGGACAACCCATGGACTTCAGGGGTACTTCAAGTCAGATCTCGAAGTTCTAGTTGGACAACCCATGGACTTCAAGGGTCTGACTTGAAGTCATGGCAGACCTCGAAGTTTTGGGCGGGCAATGGACATGATGGTCAGGGGTTTGACTTGAAGTCCTGGTTCGACAATGACCCGACGATTTGGGCCTCAGTGTAATTGGGTCTTAGACTTGATCTAGACTTGATTTAGGTTGGGTCCAACTTAGATCCTATGGGGATGAGCCAGGGTTAAACCCAGCCCGGATTATATATATATATATATATATATATATATATATATAGTATATAGTATATATATATATATAT